GTTGCTAGATCCAAGGATGAGATTCTTATCTCTCAGAGGAAGTATGTTCTTGATTTGCTCACTGAAACAGGGAAGATGGGTGCTAGACCAGTTGCTACTCCTATTGATATGAGTCATAAACTCTCTGCTTAAGATGGAATATTGTTAGAGGACAAGGGAGTCTTTCAGAGACTACTTGGAAAACTTCTTTATCTATGCATGACTCGGCCAGACATTGCATATGCTGTCAGCTGCATCAGTCAGTTCATGCATGCCCCTAGGGATACTCATATGGCAGCAGCAGAGCGGATTCTGTGTTATTTGAAGGGCTCCCTTGGAAAGGGAATTCTATTTGCCAAGCATGGCCATATGAAACTTGAAGCCTATATAGATGTTGTTTGGGCTGGAAACATTGATGACAGAAGATCTACCTCTGGGTACTATAGCTTGGTGGCTGGTAACATTGTCTCTTGGAGAAGCAAGAAACAATCGGTTGTTGCTCGATCTTCAGCCAAAGCTGAATACCGAACCATGGCACATGGAGTTTCTGAACTATTGTGGCTTAAATCATTGATGGAGGAACTGGGTATTAAGCATGATAAGCCAATGATGTTATACTGTGATAATCAGGCCGCCATCAACATTGCTCACAACCCAGTGCAACATGACAGAACTAAGCATATTGAAGTTGACAGACCCTTCATCCGAGAAAGAGTGGCTTCTAGTGAAGTATGTCTACCTTTCATCACCTCTAAAGGGCAGTTAGCAGATTTCCTCACCAAGGGCATTCCCAAGGCTAAACTTCAGCATGATACTGGCAAGCTTGGCATGATTGACATCTATGCTCAGCTTGAGGGGGAGTGTAGAGAAGATGGGCCGAATGGCCCATCGGCTGTTTATCTTTTATGTTCTTTGCTGTAATGGGCCTTAATTTGGGCCTATCCTTTCTTATGTTATGTCTTTTTAATTTTCTGCCCAACTAAGGGTTTCTCTGTAAATTACCAAAGTTTAACTTAATAAAATAGAATTAAGGGTGTAAGAGAAGTGATTATGTTCGAAAATCTCTCTCTCTAAACCCTAGTTGCCGCCATCTTCTTCTTCATCTTCTCCCTTCTAGAATTCTAATTTCTGCTATTTTCTTTTGACTTTTTGCATCTTTCTAAACAGTCATTTTCTCTCAAAGGCTGTTTTTCTTTTGAGGTAGAAGGAGTAGGGCCAAAATCCATCTGGCGAAGTATCCTACCATATAATTCCAAGTGGTCATGAAAGGAGTTGATGATCTCTTCCTTGGGGTCCAAACCAAAGTGTCGCTCCTGAGGTACCATGGAACTAGTCTCTTGAGATGCCACATTTGCTGAGTTATATTTCTTTTGACTTTGTTGGGTTGGCTTCTTACTCGGATCAGACTTCCTACTCAATTCCTGAGCCCATTTAGGCTTGTCATGAAGATCCCAACATGTGTCTCTAGTGTGCCTGGACTTTTGACAGTGAGTGCACAAAAGTTCGTCTTTGTCATCCACTCTCTTCTGTGAATCACCCTTTTTAAAATAACCTCCGACATTTGAACTTGTACCCCCTCGGACACCTAGTGCAACCGGTTCCCCTTCTGTACAATTCATCACACTTCTACTCTCTTCAAACTAAACTAGGGCATAAACTTCTTGAACTGAAGGTAAGTTCGTACTTCCAAAGATTTGTACCCTCATGGATTCATATGTAGGATTCAACTCCAAAAAAAAAGCAAATACCTGTTGTTGGGAAACAAATGATTTGTAGGCCTTTGCGTCCTCATCACACTTCCAATTCACATTTTGATAATGATCCAATTCCTTCCAAATTGATGTCAGATCTTAGTACACTGAGAAACTCCTCTCCCTCTGCTTGCAAGTGGAGGATTCAGCTTGTAATTGATATATCTTTGCATAGTGCCTCTGTTTTGAATAAGTAGATTTTGCTTGTTCCCATATTTCACAAGTTGTTTCAGCCCACATAAAAGTCTTCCTTACTTGTGGCAGCATGGGAATCAAGAGCCATGACATCACCATACTATTTTCTTGGTCCCATCTATCATGCTCAGCATTACTAGTCTTTAGTTCCTTCACTTTACCATTAATATACCCAATTTTTCCTCTAGCAGTAATATAAAGTTTAATTCCCTAGACCATTCAAGATAGTCCAGTCCATCAAAAAATCCATGGGGAAACTCATATCCATCCCCCCACTCATTCCATTTTGACCTCCTGAAATTCCAAAAGTTGCAGAATTCTCAGAGGACATGATTCAAACACTTTTTAGATCTTACACACACCTTATGATCCCTCCTATCACCAAAAAACAGTCTTAGAAACACACCAAGAATGAAGCCCACATGCACACACTGCAATTTGGACACAATTTGACAACGAACCAGCTTAGATTGTCCAAAAAAGGCAAGATTTTAGGTTGATCTCAGTGCTGAACTGTCCTAACAGTCACACTTCACCAATTTCCAGACCATCCAAACACATCAACTGTTAGGAGGGGTGATAAACCAGTACGGTCACACCACAAGGGTTAAAAAATCAGGTCATCCACGATCTACAGATCTTATTTTCAGTGGGATCACACGATCCATAAAAAAAGAGGTTCGAACCTCAACAACTTCTCAGAAGGCATTCAACAGTTTGGATTCATATGGTTTTTCTTGGTACACGACCAAGATAAAAGAAAAAAATATTAAAAGAATCTGTACCAGTTGTAGGTTTATCCTTTTGATCACAGTTGAAGAAGATAGCAAGTTTAGGAAGTGGAAACTTGTTCGATCTGCTCACAGGCCTATTAGAACCGCTCGGATACCATATTAACAGCCAAATAGAGGAGAAGAGAGGAAGAAGAGAAGAGAAAGAGAGGAGAGAAGAGAGAAGGGAAGAGAGAAGAGAGGAGAGTGTTTTGGAGTCAACATCTATTGCTGGCGGCGCCAGTTTATATTAATATATATACGGCGACCATGATTAAAAGGGAAAAGATCCTTATGCCCCTACTTAAGTTACAGTACAAAAAACAAAGAAAAAACTACTTTAACTAGTCCAAACGGACCCTAACTCAGCAGAATACAAACATAAGAAATAAAATTAACATTCCGACAATACCATTTCTGCCCCTCATCATTCTGTTGATAACATTTGATTAAAAAATAATAGTAATTTTTAGTCATCAAGAACCACATGATTCTGGCACGATGTTAATATTTATCTATTACACTAAAAAAAGTGTTGATGCTCAATCAAATTTGAAATTAACTGTTAAAGATGGTTAAAGGGGATAAATGCCAGCTCCTACTTCTCTTAGATAGGTTAAAGCTTTTCATTTCATTTTTTTTGGGGGAAAGCAGCAGTAAATTACTCACTTTTTTTTTTTTTGATAAATAAAGAACTCTTGCTTTTCTGTCAATGGAAATAAATGACTCAGGATGAGGATGCTCTGGTGGCTGAGTATTTCAAAATGCAAGATGGCAAGGTAAGCGTGGTACCCACAATATTAATGACTAGGAAATTGATGCCTTGGTTGAGATGCTTCATACATTTCAAAGGGTAACATCTCACACTACTGAGGAAGACAGGAGGTGTGGGCATGGGAAAAGTCAGAGGCATTGACTGTTTGGTCTTTTTTCAATAAGCTGGATGCAGTGGGGGATGGTGTATTCCCAAGTTCTAAAATTTGGTGCCCAAGGGTTCCCGGTTCCATTGGAGGTATTTTTTTAGCTTGGGTGGCTGCTTTTAAGAAGTGTCTAACAAGGGACAACTTCAGTGGAAGAGAATGGTGCTAGACCAAAATTCATGCATGATGCACTCCTCATTCACTGAGTCAGTGAATGATTTGTTTCTACATTGTTATTGGACTAGTAAGGTGTGGGCATGCTTCGTAGGTGTTTATTGGGGTTAAGAGATGCTTTCCAGGTACTGTAGAAGAACCCTTTAACAGCTGATTAAAGGGCTTGAGTAAAAAAGGAAAAGTGGTATGAGAATGGGATATGGTGCCACTAGCAGATTTTTGGGCAATTTGGGGTGAAAGAAATGCACATATTTTTTAACAGAAAATAATCCCCAATGGTCATAGTGAATAGGATCAAATATGCTTTTGGTTATCAATTAATAAGGAGTTTAGGGTATGGGGTACTCCTTTTTTGATACAGAAATGTTGTTTTGGGTCTGTCAGAATTGTGGATAGAGTTGGTGTCCTGTATATTCCCTGTATACAGCATCTTGATTTACATGGGTGTTGATGTTATCTTCTTGTTACATATACACAGAAGTGGTGGTGGTGGTGGGATGGGGGACAATAGTCAAAAAATAAACAGCAGCAAAAGAAATACTGATTTAACCCAATTGATAAAAAAAACACTGATTTAATCCAGCAGCCACACTAACCTATTTGCACCACATTCAGCAAGCCAGCCGGCTATAATGTCTGTCACCCAACTTTGTCAGCAAAGAGAAGAAATCTTCAACCTGGAGATTTGCACTCAATTTTTAATGAATCTCAGATGGCATCTCCTGGGCTAGATCAAAAGCTCAATTACTGATGATGGTGATAATATCCCCTTGAACAGACTTCTTCAAACCATAATTCCAGAATGCTTGAGCCCATCATGAAAGAGGGTGCATTTTAATGAAGTCAGTAGAAGATTTGCTTCAGTACCTTTTTCTTTGGCTCATGCAGGAAAATACTTTTATCCACTTTTTACAAATCTTGTAAGCATCTTGAGATTTTAGCTTGTTGAATGCACACTTGTTAGCAATGTAACAATTTTTTGATTGGTAACTGATCTGAGAACTTGATTAAGTAGAATGAGATAGATGTAATAATCATGTCATAATGAATTAGTGTCCCATTCCTTGTCCAGCTAATTATTGTGAATATCCCTTCACCTCTAGCTTTTGTTAGCATTTCTTTTTGTTGGTTTCTTTTTCATATTTAATATGGTTTTTTCAATTATTTGAAGCATTTTCTTTTTGGATGGCTCTAATTGAAGACTTTTGCAGGTTGGTCTGGCTAATATTATAGATATGTACTATGAAGACTTGTACACACTCCCAAATAAACAGCTGTGTTCAGGTGTTGTTGCAGATTTGACTAACCTATCAAAAAATAAGGTATTCATTTTTTTTTTCTGTTTTTAGTTCCTCTTGATAATTGTTGGTAGAGTTGAAGCTGGAACCATGGTTTAGAAGTTTGACTCACTAATGATTGAAGCCTCTAATGAGTGAAAAGAAAAATAATAAAATCTAATACAGGAAATCACTTGGTTGTTTAACCAAGCAGTTACTGGTTTGTTTCAGATTCTGTAAATGGTTTAAATAACATCCTTTGGGCATCCCATGCAATGCCTTTTTTTTTGTCACTGTAGCATATAAACTTAACCTGAGCTATCTGCTATCCTAACTTGAATAACTAGTAGAAAGTGCCCAGTGCTTTCTTACTTCAAGCCCATAAACCAAGTATAAGGCAGAAGTCTATAAAAGTTTATGCTGAAATATGTTATGAATAAACAATGAAAATAATTAAAAGGGGGATTACAAATCCCAATTTGATGCCTTTGTAACAAATCTAAAGGTCCAGCAGACATTAAGGATCTGTGTATGTGTGTGTGTGTGTGTGTGTGTTTTGTTTCGTTTGTGTGTGTGGTAGTGCTATTATATGGCAACTTATTTAGCAGGGGCATATTGTACAAACAAATGTACAAGCCCCTCTTGAATCCTCTTTATTCTTTGAAGAGATCATCCTCAAGTTCAAACCTGAATGTTTAGCATCTTCTTGTCTCCTTTGTACTTGTTGAACTCTTTCTAGACTTAAACATGGAAAAACATTCATTCCTCTAGTATCTCTCTTGTAAGTAATGCATTAATCTTCTTTATGAAAAAAACAGAATCCCACCTTTTTTATATTCATTTTCTTTTAATTGCCAGCTGGAAATTCTCCCCTTGTGCAAATGGATCATGAACAACTTGTCATGCTGCATAACTTGTATTGCTAATTGGTGTCTACAATTTCCATATTCTTTCAGTTATCCTCTCCAAGTTTATGGACACACTAATGAATATTCCTTGTATTAAATGATTTCTTCTGCATTTTTGTGCACTTTATTTATTTCCGCAATCCCAAACATTATTTATGTTTTCTTGGTAGAGTGTGTTAGAAAGTCAGGGGAGAGAAGAGAGAAGAGAGGAGAACTGATTGGGAGTCAAAAAGGTATGCTGGCTGTGCTAGCTTTTCTATTTATATTAGGGCGACACAACCTAACAATAAAAAGACCAAAGTGCCCCTGCAACAGACTAACACATATTACATAATTATTAATAGATTTAACACTCCCTTTCAAGTTGGGACATAGATGTCAATAATGCCCAACTTGTCACACAAATCATTGTGCTGCAAGTGATGAAAGCTCTTTGTGAGGATGTCTGCAAGTTGTTCTTTGGAGATAACATAGGGAGTGCGCACTCCTCCACTTACAAGTTTCTCCCTGATAAAATGCTTGTCCACTTCAATGTGTTTTATTTTATCATGGAGGATTGGGTTGGTTGCAATATTGATGGCAGCCTTGTTGTCACAATAGAGTGACATGGGATTGTTGACCGCAAACCCCAATTCACTTAACAAGCTCTTTATCCACATAATCTTAACAGCTCCATGGGACATAGCTCTGTACTCTAGTTTTGCATTGGACTTAGACACCACACTCTATTTTTTACTTCTCCATGTGACTAAGTTTCCACCCACAAGTTTAATATCCATTGGTAGGTTCCCTGTCATCTACTGCCCTTGCCCAATTAACATTTGCATACACTTCAACTTTCAAATGCCCATGCTTTTGAAACAACAAACTAGCACCTAAAAAGTTCTTGAGGTACCAAAGAATCATCTCAACAACCTCAAAATGTGTGGCCTTAGGGTTATGCATTGATAGTGGAATTTTTTTAGTATATTTCTCACAACATAATTCACCCAATTAGACTAATAGTTGGGTTCTTTTGTTATTTGGGTAAGCCCCATTCGGGAAATCACATAGATATTCCCTTAATTACATCTTTGCTAGGGGTAGAGAAAATCTTTTGATTCTGATTCAGAAGTACCAATGAATAGAGACTAAACTAAGTATTATTTTTCTACAGAATTTTCCTTTGAAAATTCTGGTATATATTCCCTCTTTGTTTGAGAGAAAACCAGCAAATAAATAAACAAATTTCTTATACATAACAAGTAAATAGGTATCATAAAAAGTCATGTTTCATCAATAAGGCTACACATGACCTTTAAATTGCGGTTATATGCATTATCATGCTATAAGGAACCATAATCAGCCAAGTTTCATGAACAAGGCCGTAGATAGTTGTCTCCTCACATAAAGTAATGATTTTCAGGGTTAAAATGAAGGAACCATAATTGCCAAGTTTCATAGTGTTATGGGCCCGGGAATAGGATCTTGTCACAGGTCGGTCTACGGGGAAAACCTCCTGTTTTCCCTTGTTCCTCCCCTTTCTTGCAGAACCTATCTTGGCGTCCTATGGGTGATTTGTCCAAGAGATCACCTAACTCTCCTTTTACTCTCTTTCTTGACTGAAATTCGATGCCTTTATTCAATAATCTCAGCTCCTTAAATAGGAGATTACAAGGGGTGAGAGCCCTCTTTGTAGGAAGACTCCCTATTAAACTATACTGCTTACAGATAAGATAGATAAGACTCCTAGATAAGACTCCCTAAGATAGATAAGACTCCTAGATAAGACTCCCTAAGATAGATAAGACTCTCTACTAATCTTTACTGGAACAGATAAGATAAGAATAAGATAAGATAAGGTGAACTGTGACTAGCTAGATAATCCGATGAAGACACCACATCACTACTGTTGCCGACGGCGGTACTTCTTCCCAATAAATGCGTCCACAACATTACTCCCCTCCTGGACTACGAGCTTGTCCTCAAGCTCAAAATCTGGGTATGTGTCTCGGAGTTCAGTCAAGGGAATCCAGGTGGCCTCGACTGATGGTAAGGTGTCCCATTCCACCAGGACTTCGAGAACACCCCGATTGATTCTGGATCGAACAAGAGCCCGAGGTTGGGGGATGAGTCTGTCGTCTTTCAAGGGTGGTAGGGGGGGTACTTGGTCAGGAGGAGTACCTGTAAATGGCTTGAGCTAGGAAATGTGGAAAATATCATGGATTTTGCTGTGCTCTGGCAGTTCTAGCTGATATGCAATTGTGTCAATCTGCCGTAAAACTTTGAAGGGTCCATAAAATTTAGGAGCTAATTTAGGGGCAGCCTTGTTTCTCAAGGAGCGTTGCCGATAAGGCTGAAGCTTCAACCACACAAACTGTCCTGGTTCAAGTGTTAATTCCCGATGATGCTGGTCATAGGCGTGCTTCATGCGTAATTGCGCTTGGTGCAAGCGGAGAGAAACTTCAGCTAGGAGGGCATCGCGCTCTTGTAGGGAACGATCAATTTCATCCAATTGAGTCGAACCGGGCTCATAGGATAACAAGTGAGGAGGGTCTCGGCCATAGACGACCCGGAAGGGTGTCATGCCAAGGGAAGAATGATAGGTCGTGTTATAACAATATTCGGCCCAGGGAAGCCAATCAACCCACCGATGCGATTGGTCGCCAACAAAACAGTGGAGATACATCTCGATCGTACGGTTCACTACCTCCGTTTAGTAGTCTATCTGAGGATGGTAAGCGGAAGAAAAAACTAAGGTCGTACCATGCAACCGAAACAGTTCCTTCTAGAAGGCACTAGTAAAAACTGGGTCCCTATCGCTGATGATGGATTCCGGTAACCCATGTAAACGGAAAACATGCGTAAAGAAAATGTGGGCAACTGAAGCAGCATTGTATGGATGTGATAGAGGATGAAATGGGCATACTTAGAAAAGCGATCCACTACCACGAATAGAACAGATTTCCCGCCAACCTTGGGTAGGCCCTCAATGAAATCCATGGAGATATCAGCCCAGATTTGTGTTGGAATTGAGAGGGGCTGAAGAAGGCCAACTGGGTGTAGGTTTTCCCATTTGTGTTGTTGGCACGTGGAGCAATTATGGATGAAGTCCCAAATAGAAGTTTTCATACCTGGCCAATGGAAATCAGCTCGGACGCGATGTAGTATCTTCTGAATGCCTTCATGGGTGGAGTTATGTATACTGGAGATGACGGAGGGAATTAAAGAAGAATCGGCTGGGAGGTATATCTGTCCTTTGTATAGCACCAGCCCGTCGTGAATGGACCAATTTGAGTCGGTTGTCCCGGACTGTATTTTCTGAACAAGGTCCGTCCACTCTGGTGATTGTGGCAGCGCGTTCCTAATGTCTTCTAACAGGGTGACTCGGGGATGTGAAATCGCACAAAGGAGCATAGTATCTTCGTCTCGTCTAGACAAGGCATCTGCGGCACGATTTAAGGATCCCGCCTTGTAGTCTACCCAGAAATCAAAACCAAGCAGTTTGCTAATCCAATGTTGCTGAGGCGAAGTGGTAAGCCGCTGCTCTAACAAATACTTGAGGTTGTAGTGATCAGTCTTGACGACGAAGGACCTTCCCCACAAGTATGGTCTCCAGTGTTGCATTGCTCTAGCTAACCCAATCAGTTCACGCTCGTAGGCGGGTAATTTTAGATGTCGGTCAGCCAGTTTGCGACTAAAGAAGGCAATCGAGTGTCCTTGTTGCTGCAATACGGCTCCAACACCTATACCTGATGCATCGCATTCAACTGTAAATTCGAGGCCAAAATTCGGCAACTGTAGAACTGGTGTGGAGGAGAGGGCATCCCTTAAATTTGCAAAGGCTGCATCAGCTATGTCGTCCCAATGGAAGGCATTTTTCTTTAGCATATTGGTTAATGGGGCAGCCAATAGTCCATAATTTTGTACAAACTTGTGGTAGTATCCTGTCAGACCTAGGAACCTACGGAGAGCCTTGGCGGATTGAGGTTTGGGCCATTCCTTGATTGCTTGAATTTTGGAACTATCCACCGTGACACCTTGCCCACTGATTATATGTCCTAAGTAAAGAACCTGGCGCTCCCCAAAAGAGCACTTGGACCGCTTAAGGAAGAGCTTGTGTTAGCGTAGGAGTTCAAAAACAGTCCGTAGATGATG